ACATGCATGCTTAATGGTAAACACTTGACAGTCACACCGTACCATCAAGAGTACATAATAACACCATGGTGTTATTATGTACTCTTGGTACCATGAATTCTACCGCGCCGTGGAACCGGCTGCCGCTAGCGGCTGAGGCCGAGCGAGAGCGGCAAGGGGCAGGACCGGCGGGTTGACAACGGACTTGGCGGGTATCTGCCTCACCCCCCTAAAATTTCTCAACGAATCTACACGAATTGGAATACCCATCAAATTAGAATATAAATCGGCGGATTTCCGCCATTTGGCGGGACATTCACACCCCTGTATGTCACTCCTGATCTGTTCATGTGGGATCAGATGACAAGGAACGACTGTTGTGGAGGCGAAACAGCAAACAGTTACAGCATAAATCACTTCTAAATAAATCACTCAGGGTATTACTCTACCCTTTAGCCCGTTACTTTAGGCTTTACAGCAAAGGATAGACGATGGACCACAAGCAACAGGGAGAAGTCCCGGAGAAGTTTAGCAGCTGAGAACACATCACACCCTATATACGAGATACCGTACACCCGCGTGTTATTTTGGTGTAGGCCTAGACATTGAAGCTTTCGATCAACGCTACTGCAACTGCACATAACAATGGTAGCTACCTAAAGTGAAGGGCATTATAAAGGCCTAACTCGCTACCAACACGGGCAACGGCGACATGTGCGCAGTCTCTATGCGGCGGCATGACATGAGGGCTGAGCTATCGCCGGCGAATTATACATAGTTTATACTACAGCTAAATGTACTTACCAAACTGTTTTTACACAGCAATCGTATATAATATATACATATAATATAACGAGAAGTTAGTACAATATATATCATACTTACTCGACTCGAATAAGCCCGGAGATCGAATTAATCGGTTCTAGAGGACGAACAAGTTACAATTTCGTCAGCGCGAGTGAACGTGAGTGAGATGGTTCAACCACGTGCATTGGGTGGGAGCCCCGATAAGGCGTTACGATAAATTATAATGTTTCCAATTAGAATTTCTCGTTTTAGAAGCATTAAAATGTTTTATTTTTTATTCTATTTGTAATTTATAACGTTAAGAAAAATTTTTAACAATTCAAAAACAAAGAGTTATGAGTTTGTCATGTAATTAAAAAATATTTTTAGATTTATACTAGTTCGTGGCCTCTTTCTCGAATATGATAAGCCTTCTCGAATTTAGATGGTAACTTCTTATTTTTCTTACAGTAATTTGACTTATTCAGTGAGAATATTCCCAGGCTATTACCGGTGTGATGTAACCACAGACGTCACCCCCAGAAATAATTCACTGAGAAGATTCGAGAAGAAATTTTCACGAAGGTCAGAAACCGCGCATGCGCAATCGAAAACTCACCACGTGAGGTCACTCAATCCCGTCGATCGTCCTCTTGTAGAAATTTGGTAACCGGGGAACTCGTGAAGAGTAAATTCTACGTTTTCTCGATTATTTATACATCAAAATAATGGTAAGTGTACTGTTTGTCTTCGTACGATTACCTGGTGTTATCAAGTTTGCTACTTCAGAATGTAGTTACTAGTTGTAGCTGAACGAACATGGCTAAGTGAGGCTGAGAATTGAACAGTGAGAGGGGCTGAGAGGGTCGACTCTAGAGTCTAGAACTATGCACCCGGGCGGGCACAGGCCACTACTGAAGCGTTTCAACTGTTAAACACACGCTGGCCGCCAATTGCGCGCAAACGGCTGACACTAAATTATATTATTTTATATATATTTATATTAATGTGTCTGTGGCGCGCATGGCGGGCGCGTGGTGTTTACAGTTGTAAACGCTTCAAGTGGGCCTAGTGCCCCGCGGGCCGGGGTCAGATGCGGAAGCTACCCTGGTAGTATCTAATGATGGCGTACCGTACTCGCCTACTCCAACTAACTGAGTCTAGGAGTGCGGACATAAGCGCCTAACTCCCACTATCCTAAACGCCTAATGCCTAATCCGCTGAACCATAATCAAAACAGTTGACCAGGGTACGTTACCGGCATACCGCGGACCGTACGCAGTTCGCGTTCGCCGGCAGTACCCACCTGGCTGAACATAGACCCTATGAGCGCTAAGTTGAGTAGGTGGTCTGTAGCTCTAGTAGTAGTAGGGCATATAGCCGCACACAGCACTTTGAAGCGTTATTCAATAATAAATATAACTGCTAGACTAATACGAAATCTATTTACTAAACGCAAATCCGTAATGTTTCTATAACTGCATCTTTCACGCGGCTATTATTGCACAGTTTCTTCCTGTAAATTCTCCGTCCAAATCCTACGTGCAACCCATATACGCTGCTCGCGGCCGGCCATATGCTCTCGCGGCTTCCACTGTTGGCACGCTGACACTAATATATATCATAGCCGAGTAGGAAAAGCGGGAATCGGCAAAAATTCGGCCTTGACGCTCGCTTGATTTCACTACTTCTTCAACAGCAGCGAAATACACATCCAAACAGCTGCCATCCTTTGTTTCTATGTCAAGAACAGTGTTCAACAAAGTTGTTATAAAAACATACCGATCTCTTGTTACGTAACCGGAGCTGTGTCAACGCGCCGCCGCGAAATCAAACACAAAGACTGACAACCACAAATTGCTCCGCGTTTTGCGAACCTTGCCCAGTTAAGTGCAATCGGCTGTCAGAATCCAGAAAACACCATACCGGCGCTCTTCGTGACCTGGCATTCTATCAGCGGCTGCAACGTTTTGCAAGGCGTTTCCAATGGCCGAAGGCTCGAACAGGAAGTTGCAAGCAGTGCGCCGCCTGCGCGCACGCTATAGTCCATAGACCTGGCACTCACTCACCTCATCGCTTACGCTATAGTTCCACTCGATGGGTAAATCGGGCGTGGGAGCGAGTCCGCATTTATATAGACCTGTATCATCTGACAGCCATGTTACATTACTGGGCAAGGTTTGCGAACGCAGACGAATTTCGTCAGTCTTTTGTGTGATTTCGGTGACACAGCTCGGTTACAGAACAGAAGACAGTATGCATTTCATAAACAAGTGAACACTGTACATTGACATACGAAGAAACAAAGATGGCAGCTGTTGGATTGTGTATTCGTGCTCGTGAAAGTGTGAAATCAAAAGCGAGCGATTCGAGCGAATTTTGCGATTTTGCGATTTTGCCTTTTCAATACCTGCTATGTATAGTGTACAGCAGTGCACAGTGGA